ATGAAACTTTCCCAATTCCTTAAGGTAGAATTAAACATTTCTGCCTCAGAGTCTTATGTATTCTGTTAATATCTTTATTATGCTAATTCACATGCTTATATTTTATTTTATAGTCATTTGTCTCTCCAGCCAGATTGTAAGCTTCTGCAAAGTGCAGGTGCAATCTGATTTATGTCTGTAATTAGGTAACCTGATATTCAATTATAGACATAAATTGTTAATTTACCTATTATTAGTTTGGTGCTCAAAAAAGGTCTGGTGAATAACAATTAAATCTCTACGTATTAAACAGGTGTTGTGTGACTGGTTATGACTTAGATGTTTTGCAGACAATATCTTGAATCCTCTCAACAATGCTACAAGGCAGATATAATTATCCTCATTTTGCATATGGAGATCTTGCAAAAGCTCAAATTGTTAGTAAATGATAGAACCAAGGTTCTACAAGACCAAATGATTCAAAGCCATGGTTTTTTTCCCTGTGACTCCATGCATGAAGAGCTGGGTGTGCTGGCTTACACCTGTAATCCCAGCATTTTGGGAGGCCAAGACAGAAGAACCACTTGAGGCCAGGAGTTTGAAAAAAAACCCGAAACCCAAAACTTATTTCCTATGATTGTTAGAAGATTAAATGAGATAATGTATGTAATATGTCTCGGCAGTGCTGATAAATAGTAGGTTTTATTAAACATTGGCTTCCTGTCCTCTTGAAACCCATAGCATGGGTGTTCTTGATTTCTGAGAAGGACCAAGGTGGTTTACCTAAACTTTTTGCTGCCTCCACACACGCTCACACTCACATTCACACACATTCACACTGACATGGAGGTAATGAGAAACAGATTCTTTCTGGGGCTACTCATTTTAACCCAGACCTCTTTGTTATACTTGCCTGTTGGTAAATGGCTCTGATGACAAATGAAAGTACAGTAGAGAAATAATTAGTAGTACTGTGGGCATGCAATCTTTTGGGCATGCAATCTCTCTCTCTTTGTGTGTGTGTGTGTGTGTTGCTAAGGGCTGGGGTAGGCATATTAACAGGAAAGGAATCATGCCTGACGTCTTACCAGGGCTCTGCCATCTTGGCAAATTCCCAGAAATCATTCTGACTAGTGTGCTTACTCTTCCCTCCCTGTTTTGTTTTTACCCAGACAGCATATTTTAGAGTCAGGACCACTTTCTTTACTACCTCAGGATTCTCTGTAGGAAAGAAAAAGGGGAAATGGGAAGGGAATAAACATGAGCTGTAGACCAATACTGTCTTGTGGATCCTACCTTGAGATACCAGGCTCCTGAGAGATAAATCTAAGCAAGTGAAATGTGAAGCTACGTTGCTAAGGGGCTGTGTTCAGGTAAGGGAGAGCAATCCCTCTGTAGTCTTCAGATCCCTGTAACTCCCTTGCAAAGCAATATTAAGATATTGCTCAGCTGCTCTTGGTACTTGATGAAGGCTAAAGGGATTTCATGGGCTTAAGGTAAGAGAGCTGCTTCTACTCTTGATTCTCCTGGTCCATACATTTCAAGGTAATGACCAAACAAATTTCTTGTCACCAGCCTGGGCTCTTGGTTTGTTTCTGATCAAACATCAGATAAGTACCAAGTAAGGAAGAACTTCCACTACTCAAAAAATCCTCAAATTCTCTACCAAATATATAATTTAGATGCCTTCTGACCCATTACAGAACCAATGCTACATATAGAAGGGATAAAAAATGAACAGAATAAGTGAATTTAGGGCCTTGTATTGTTATTATTATATATTTTTTTAGTCAGCCAGATTCAACAGTGGGTAGATGTTATTATTGTATTTTTAATGGTATTATATATATAATATGTATACATGTTATATAATATATACATACTTAACACTTTTTATTTCAATAATTTTTGGAGTACAAGTGGTTTTGGTTATATGAATGAGTTACATTGTGGTGAGTTCTGAGATTTTAGTGAACCCATTACCCGAGTAGTATATGCCGTACCGAATATGTAGTTTGTTATCTTACACCCTAGTTTTAAATGGTATGTTTTATCTCTCAAGCTGGTCCCTTAAGTTTAGGAACTATGTCTTCAGCTTCTTTGAATTTTACTTCATGGCATTCCACATAGCAAGTACCTGGTGTCATTTGCTGAGTGATAGAGACAGTCACTCATATGCAACCTGTATAACTGACAAGGAGATACCAACTTGAATGGCGAGCATGAGAAGTTGTAAGAAAAAGGCATTTGGAAGCGAAAATTTGGAATCTCTAGACAGCTAAATATTCTCTAGCACTTGATTAAACTGTGAGATTAAGTAAACGGGTCGGGTGCAGTGGTTCACGACTGTAATCTCAGCACTTTGGGAGGCCGAGGCAGGTTGATCACTTAGGCCAGGAGTTCGAGACCAGCCTGGCCAACACAGCAAAACCCCATCTCTATTAAAAGTACAAAAATTAGCCAGGCGTGGTGGTGGGTGCCTGTAATCCCAGTTACTCAGGAGGCTGAGGCAGGAGAATTGCATGAGCCCGGGAGGCAGAGGTTGCAGTGAGATCACCTCCAGCCTGGGTGACAGAGGCAAAAAAAAAAAAAAAAAAAAAGAAAAGAGAGAGAGAGAGAGACAATGAGAGAGAGAGAGAGAAAGAGAGAGAGAGAGAGAGACAGAGAGAGAGACAGAGATTAAGTAAGCAAGTTCAAATTTAGTGAGAACTTTTATGTCTGATATTGTGAAGCAAGATAAATTCCACAGCTAAAAATGTCAGTTACCTGGCTGCTCAGAAAACTTAATCAATATAGAAAAACAAGTACAACCTTAGGAGTTTAAGGGAAAAAATATTTGCCAGACTGACTTGTACGCAATAGGATGCACAGTAAGTACTTTTGAATTCAATCCACTTAAATATTAAAGGATCATAAATGTGGATGACTCGTTTTGAGGCAGGATTCCTTTGTTTTAAATCACCCTGAGCCTGGGCATATCTTTTGGGGAGCTGGTTTGACTCTGACCCTTCTTAGCCTTTCTCTTTCCCTTTTGCAATTGGTCAAAGTCAACAGACTTTTTTTTTTTTTTTTTTTTTTTTTTAAATACATGGAGGCTTGCTCTGTCACCAAAGCTGGAGTGTGGTGGCATGATCTTGGCTCACTGAAACCTCTGCCTCTCGGGTTCAAGCAATTCTCCTGCCTCAGCCTCCTGAGTAGCTGGGACTACATGCACATGCCACCAGGTCCAGCTAATTTTTTTTTTTTTTTTTTGGTATTTTTAGTAGAGACAGTGTTTCACCATGTTGGCCAGGCTGGTCTTGAACTCCTGACCTCAAGTGATTCACTTGCCTTGGCCTCCCAAAGTGCTGGGATTACAGGCATTAGCCATCATATCTGCTACAGATTTCTTAAAGTAAAGCAATGTCTTTACTGTATCCACAGAACATTGGTCTGGTTACTAGATGTCCCTTCCAAAATCACAAGCTTCTGGGGCGAATTGAGACTTTAATATTTCTGAAAATTCCTTTATCTCCCATCATCTCAGGGAAGGCTTGTTTCACTTTCCTGTTTCATTTTACTGTTGGTTAGTGAAAGCATGAAGAGAGAAATCTTTGGGTTGAATGAAATTTTAAATAGCAAATATTCATTAGTTGAAACATGAGAGTGTTCAGAAATCTTCCTTAGCATAAATTAAAGGTATATGTGTGAATGTAAAAAACTGGAAGGAAATATACCAAAATTTTATAGTATTAATAGTTATAGATAGGTAATTTAAAATTTTCTTTGCATGCATGCTTTTTAATATATGACCGTTTTCTACAATGACATATTATTTTGATAAACAGAAAAAAATAATATTATGAGAAGGGGAACTGGAGTCAATAGCCACTCTCCTTCCCCTATCATCATGCTACAGGGCTTAAAGCCCGAGAGACCTAAAGAGCTGTAACTGTGTAAGTGGTATTCAGGTGTGAGTTTGGGCTGGCCAGGTAATCTCTCTGGGACTCAGGTTTCTCACCTGTGAAATGTAGGGATTTGAGTGCAATGGTCACATCTAGTTCTAAAATGCCTCAATTCTATTATGGGCCTGCCACATCATAGGCTGTTATTATTTCAAAATGCTCTAACTTTGAGTAACAGAAATCTTGAATAATAGTGGCTTAAATCATAAGAACTCTTGCTGTTGAGTAAACAGAATATTTGAAGACAGGTAGTCCAGGACTGGATCAGTTGCTCATTGAGGGTATCCAGGAGCCAGGCCTCTTCAACTGCTGGTTTTTGTCCTAGAGATTGCTGCCTCATAGTTACAAGACAGTTATCACATCTCTATGTAGGAAAGAAGAGGCAGAGGCTGTTTTCTCCTTTGCATCCAGTAAGGTCCTTCACATCTCGTTTGTCAGAATTGAGCCATGTGACCAACTGAGATAAATCAGTGACAAAGGAAAGGAGATTCCCATCTTGCATTAGGCCAATGATCATTCATACTACACCTCTGAGAGCAAAGAACAGCTGCCCACTGACTGACTCAATTAGGGGTTTATCAGCAGGGAAGGAAAGCTGAGAAAGGACAGCCACAGGGGAGGAAACAAAGTATGTCTTCCAGAGCACTTAAATATTTGTGAATGAATGAGTGATGGCCACATTATGCCTGTTATGACTCCTGAAAACACTTGACTTTGTGGGCCCCTTCCTCCATAAAAATATTAAAAAATTACATTTATGAATGCGAGCTGGATTCATTGTTATATAGTCATTATGTTTATTTTTATTTTTAATCAAAAAATTATAATTGGAACATATTTGTAGGCTCCTAAAAGTATTGTGGACCCAGACACTGTGACTACTGTGCCTAGTGGATAATTTGATCTTGGATCTGTTTTCTTTCCAGATGAATTGTAAAAAATTGAGGGCAGGCACGATGTACTAGGTTTGTTGTTGCTCTCAAGTCCCCTATTGCAAAACCATACATCTAAGAGCTGCTTAATCAATACTATTGAGTTGACCTAACATATAACTGATGTCACTGTTTCTTCCTCCAGGGTGAGCCAGGTCCTCCTGGTCCTTATGGTTCTCCAGGAGCTGCTGGAATTGGACAGCAAGGTATTAAGGTAAAGATACTTGTCTTTTTGCCCATTGATGACTATTGAATTTATTGTAGGGCCTGGGGGAGCTGTGATTTGAACTCCATTTGGCCTAAACCCAATAGACACAAGGAGGCTTCCTGAAGTTACTTCATTTTATATGCTTGGACACAGCAATGTGCTTGTCAGGGGCAGTTACCACAAGAATAATTAATGTATTTTAAAATTTTGTTGGAATGAAAAACTTACTTGTCTCCAAATACCCACCCTTTTACCAAGGTACATGTAGTTTTGTTGAGTTTTCATGGACTTTAAACATTCACATGCAAATATGTTATTGGTAAGTGGAACAGCTTAACACATCACCAATCATGGTTCACATTGAAAAAGCATAAAGGGGCAGAAACCAGAAGGCCCACGGCAATGAATAGGTCAATGTTGGCAGAGAGGTTTGTAAAGAACTAGAAAGGGAAGGAAGGAGCATCCATCCTGTGAGGCTCTACATTATGCAGGCTATAATAAAGCAGAAGTGCCTATTTTGAATGGCTTTTCTAAGTGGTTGTGACAGTAAGATTTTGATGCAGGATTAAAATAGGAAGCAGTACAAAACAGTGTACTTTGAATGTAATTGATTATCACCATGTATAGCATTTCAACAATAAGCACACTGAGACTCCAGGAAAGGTAGAGTTTATGTTGGCAGAGTTATGGAGTTTTCTGGAAGAGATGAAGTCTGAAAAGAGCTTAAAGGAGAAGTGAAGTAGGATAGAGTGGGGACAAGGAAGGGGTGACATTCCTGGATGGTGGCAAGAGGGCAGGGTACAGCACATGCATTGTCAGCTTAGTCAGCTCAGTAACAAAATGCATTGCCACACAGTGTGTCCTGCCAATTCTTACACAATATTTTGTGAAAGCTGAAAATGCTGAATTACATTCGGACAAGAAGAGATAATAAACATTTTAGTGTAATTTGTTCACTTTAATTCGAGATATTTCTCTTCATCTAGAATTTTTTACCTTTATGAATATGCAAATTTTGTCTATATTGCTATTTACCCTTGTTGAAATCTCGAGATAACTTTGTGCTATGTTTATTCTTTATTTAAAATCTCAAGATTTCCTTCTATTATTTCTTTCCCTTAGGGAGAAAGAGGCCAGGAAGGAAGACCGGGAGCTCCAGGACCCATTGGAATCGGTGAGCCTGGACAGCCAGTAAGTAGCAAAAATTCTAGATGGAATGAAAAGGACAAATATAGTTTTTCCTTGTTCTTTCTGGTTAGAATAAAGAGTCAAATTAATCCACCTTGTATCTATTTTATTTATGTATTTTTTTGAGATGGAGTCTCACTCTGTCACCCAGGCTGGAGCGCAGTGGTGCAATCTCGGCTCACTACAACCATCACCTCCCGGGTTCAAGTGATTCTCCTGCTTCAGCCTCCAATTAGCTGGGACTGCAAGTGCACGTCACCAGGCCCAGCTAATTTTTTTTGTATTTTCAGTAGAGATGGTGTTTTGCCTTGTTGGCCAGGCTCATCTCGAACTCCTGAGCTGAGGTGATTCACCTGCCTCAGTCTCCCGACCACCTTGTATCTTTATGAGCAACAAATGAAAATAAATGTGAAAGGACCAGATCCAAGTGCTATTTTTCACAACACTTGAAATAGAACTATGTATATATGTATATGTGTAAATATATATGATGTTTACAACCAACTCTCTTTTACTGTAACTTCTTACGAGATTAATCAACTTGAACAAGAAGAAAAGAGTTCTCAGGTGTCAACATTTTCTAGGAAGAAGATCTGGACTCAAGCCTAATGTTTATACTTTATAATGGATTTCTTTGTAACCACAAGAAAAATCACTGAGAATAAAGACTTGGCTCATTATGTAATCCATGAGTATGCTCTAGAGTTAGGATTGATAATGGTAGACAGATAATACCTGTGTTATTCACAACATCTCTTTTATGTAGCTTTGAAGTTTTACTGTTGTTGGGGAAGAAAAAATTTCTATTACATTTGGAGAGGAAGTAAATAAAATATGATTATTCTGGTATAAGAAGCTTGTTAACTTTTCAAGTAATCATTATTCTCCTAGGCAAAAATAGTAGCTGACTCACGTAGGTACAAATAAAAACAACTGATTGTGGATAGCTGGTCTTTGAAGTTGTCTTTGCACTGCATAGTTCCTCACATGTGTATATTCACAGAAACATACACTTCCTTACTGCACTCTGTGAGTGAAATGGCAACATATTGTTTAGGTTTAGGCTTTTCACTAATGTCTGAATATACTAATTCAAAAAAGAGAGCATCATATGGAAGAAAAATACACTGGATTAATCATCTAGAGATCAGTCATCTAGTCTCAGTTTCCACTAACTAGATAGTACCATTAAAGATAAACCACTAACTTATTTTGTTCTCTGTTTTGGTTTTGTGTTTCTGCTTAACAAACTTCCTCAGGACTTAGTGCCTTAAAACAATAATTTGTTATTTCTTATGATTTTGCGGGTTGACATGAGAGTTCTGTATAACTTGAAGTCAGATGGAGTGCTAAAATGGCTGGAATGTTAAAAATGGCCTCACATGGCTGGCAGTTTGGTGCAGGTTGTTGTCTGGGAGCTTAGCTGGGGTTGTTGCCCAGAGACCTCAGTTCTCCTCCACATGGGCAGCTACAGGTGGTTGCTTGGGCTTCCTCACAACATGGCAGCTTAAATCCAAGCAGGAATGTTCTAATAAGCAGAAGCCACTCATCATGTGAGGCTCAGCCTCAGAAATTATACAGCATCATTTCTGTGACACCTAAAATAAGCATAGGACCAGCTCAGATTCGAGTGGAATAGAAAAAGATTTCACCTTATGAAGAATATCAAAGAACTTGTGGACGTATTTAATTTATCAAAGTCTCAAATTTTAACTTCTATAAAATTAAAAGATTGGGTTCTCCTTAGGTCTATGACTTTCAGAGCTGGAAACATTCTGAAAATGTCAAAGAAATAAGTCACAATTATTATTATTATTTTAGAGAGTCTCGCTCTGTCATCTAGGTTGGAGGGCAGAGGCATGATCTCAGCTCACTGCAGCCTCTGCCTCCCAGGTTCATGTGATTCTCCTGCCTCAGCCTCCCGAGTAGCTGGGATTACAGGTGCCCACCACCATGCCTGGCTAATTTTTGTAGTTTTTGTAGAGACAGGGTTTCACCATGTTGGCCAGGCTGGTCTTGAACTCCTGACCTCAGGTGATCCCCCCACCTAGGCCTCCCAAAGTGATGGGATTACAGGCATGAGCCACTGTGTCCGGCCTAAAAAATTTTTAAATGTAGATTGACAATTGTTTTTTCCAAAGAACTTTGTGCTTTGCTATTACGTATACCTTCCAAACTCAGAACTAAACTTAAGAATGAGTTTCACTTATTCATTGTTGTTCTTAAAATGTTTTTGTTTTTAAATAATGAAATATTTTAATCATACTGGAAAATCTAGAGAATGAGTTGGTAAACCTCCAGCAGGTAGATAATTAAACTTAGTACATTTACTACTCTTGCTTTAGATTTTCTTTAAAAAGCATAAAACATTATGGATATAGTAAAGTCTCCCTATCTTTTTCAGACAGTAGAAGAGGAAGAAACACTTATCAACTTATTTTATGAGGCCAGTTTTCCCTTGATACCAAAACAAAATACTAAACATACATAAGAGGAAAACTACAGACCAATATCCCTTGTGAATATGATAGACATAAAAATTCTTAACAACATGCTAGCTAAATAGAATTCAATGTATAAAAGGAATTGTACAGTGTGACCAAGTGAGGTTTATCCTATGGATGCAAGTCTGGCTTAATAATTGAAAATTAATCAATGGAATATACCATATTAATAGGCTAAAGAAGAAAGATCACATGTGATCACATCAAATGACACAGAAAAGCATTTGACAAAACTCAAAACCCTAATAAATGCTGATAAATCTCATACAAACTCAGAAAATTAGAAATAGAGGAAGAACTTCCTCTAAAACTCTAGAGCTAATATTATGCATAATAGTGAAAGAATGAATGCATCCCTCTAAGATCAGGAACAAGACAAAGATGTCTGTTCTCACCAGTCTTATTCAACATAGTATTGGAAGTTCTAGCCAGCACAGTAAGACAAGAGAAAGAAATATAAGGCATTGGTATAAAAACAATAAATAAAATTGTCCTTATTTGCAGATGATATGATGGCCTCCATAGAAAATCCCAAGAAATCTACACGAAAACCTCCTAGAATTAACAAGTGAGTTCAGCAAGGTCACAGGATACATTATCAACATACAAAATCAATTTAATTTCTGTATCCTAGCAATGAACACATAGAAACTAAAATTAGAAGCACAACACCATTTTTAATTGCTAAAAAAGAAAAATACTTGGGTAGAAATCTAATAAGACATGTATAGGACTTGTATAAAACTACAAAACACTGATGAAAGAAATCAAAGAATACTTAATAAATTTAGAGACATGTTTATAGATTAGAAGACTCAACATCATAAAGATGTAAATTCTTCCCAAATTGATGTAAAAGTTTAGTGCAAATGTTTTTGATATCCCAGCAAGATTTTGTTTAGACTTGGACAGGGCTATTTTAAAATTAATATGGAAAGGCAAAAGAGCTAGAATAGCTTTTTAAAAACTTCAAAAAGAATACACTTGGAGAAATTATACTAACTTATCTGGTCTTAAGATTTATTATATAGTCACAGTAATGATGACTGTGTGGTTTTGGCAAATTATAGAAATACGATCAGTGGAACAGAATAGAGACTCTAGATTCAGACCTACACAAGTGTAGTCAACAGATTGCAAAAGCAATCCAATAGTGGAAACATAGTCTTTTCAACAAATGGTGCTGGCGCAACTGGATATCTGTGCTAACACAAAAAATGAACCTTAATTTAAGTCTCACACCTTATACAAAAAGTAACTCAAAATGGATTATAGATTTAAATATAAAATGTAAAAACTATAAAACTTTTAGAGTAAAACATATGATAAAATCTTTAGGATCGTGGGCTTGATGAAGATTTCTTAGACATGTCACCAAAAACATGATGCCCCCTAAAAAGTAATTAATTGGACTTCATCAAAGTGGTAAATGTTTGCTCTGTGAAAGACTCTGTTAAGGGTCTAAAGAGACAAGCTGCTGATTGGGAGAAAATATTCACAAACTACAAATTTACAAAGGATTTGTATTGGGAATACTTTTTAAAAAAAATTCTCAAAACTCAATAATAAATCAAAAATCTAATTAGAAATTGGGCAAAATATCAAATATATATACATATCTCAAGCATATATACATGCACATACACAACTTGGTGTGTATATATCTATATATGTATACATATACTTGTATATATTTTTACATATTTTGTTTCTATTTTGTGGTTACTAAACTTTAATATGTGTTCTTTTTATTAACTTTCATTTTAGGTTCAGGGGTACATGTGCAGGTTTGTTATATAGGTAAATTGCATGTCACAGGGGCTTGGTGTAGAGATTATTTCATCATCCAAATAATAAGCATAGTATCTGATAGGCAATTTATCCATCCTCACCCTGTTCTCACCTTCCACCTTCAAGTAGGCCCCAGTGTCTGTTGTTCCCTTCTTTGTGTCCTTGTGTTCTCAATATTTAGCTTCCACTTATAGGTTAGAACTTGTAGTGTTTGGATTTCTGTTTCTGAGTTAGTTTGCCTAGGATAATGGCTTCTAGCTCCATCCATGTTGCTGCAAAGGACATGATCTCATTCTTTCTTATGGTTCTGCAATATTTCATGGTGTATATGTACCACATTTTCTTTATCTTACTCTTGATGGGCATTTAGGTTGATTCCTAACATATTTTCTTGGCTAACAAGTTTGAAATGTCATCAATATTGCCACCCGCTCCTGAAAAATATACTGACCATATGAGACTTTTACTTCAATAATTTCTTCCACTTTCAGAGTATTATTCCTGTTGACTGAGTTCTACCTTATTTTCATCCTACCAAAATTATTTATTATTATTTTTGAACTTTTTAAAGGTAGTATTTGTATAGTTTTACCCACATATTTACCCATTTCTTAGTTGACATAGCTTCCTAAGTTTCTCTTCTCTTCTTGGCCGATTTCTTTATTTTTTCAATAAATACTTTTTTCAGAAGATGTTTTCAGTAAAAGC